GGGTCCAAGAGCTTTTCTGGGGGGAACATGTTTAACCTGCCAGCTCAGATCTGAGTATTTGTTCCCTCACTTGGTCCTTGCATACCATGCAGCAATGGGTCCTGGGACTATATCCCTGAGCGGGTGCTCATTCGGGGGCCGGTATGCCCATACGCCCATACCTGTCTGCCAAGCTAACCCAGCCACAGGTACCAGGAGTGCTTCCCCACGGCGTGGGAGGTGAGCACTGCAGGAACAGGATGCACGTCTAGCATTCCTGTAAGCCAAACTACCCATCTTAAATCCACTGACCAAAGCAAGTGCTGATGCCACAAATCACTGGAAAACTGTGATTTAATTTACTTTCCTTCCTCTCAGTTCCCCGATACCTGTACTTCAGTTTTTCCATTCTCTCTGATGCTCTCGTTGCTTGCCTGCCAGTCTCCTTTGCACCAGCATCTCACCACAACAGTTGATTTATTGGGAAGGAAGAGGAAGGACACTAGATGAGCCTGCCCTCAGCTACAAACAATAGCAACATTTTTTTTCTACAGAGACAAGTCGAAGGAAAGCTGCAGTAAGGTGCAATGAATGCACAGCCAGTGTGCAGGGGAACACCCAGAGAGTAAACCACAACACACTTGAGGCTTCTTTGAGTCACAAGCTGTAGCCTTTTTTGTTTCTTTACCCAGGAGCCTTCTCATCTTTCATTGTTTTTAAGCATTACTTACTGAGGCATTTTTACGCCTCATACATTATCTTCATTTCAAATCCAGCAGAGCTCTGGAAAGGTCGTAGGATAGTTTTTACCAGCTTCATTTGCAAAGAAAAGATACAGATCTTTGGGCATCCATTGGTGAAAACACATGATAGCTCTCGGGCAGGCTCCTACTGTTTATCAGTTGGTTTCAATACAGACTAAACCACCTTCCCTTCTCCGTTTCTCAGTGCTCAGATGCCTGGTGCCTGCGCTATCTCGCTCTGCTGCCTTCACTGTCTTTACAAACCTGTCTTCAACCCTCTCAAAATAACCTGACCACGAGCAGCTTGACCCGACGGAACACCCGAGGGGTGGCTGGCTGTCCTGCCCTACCTGCACACGGGGAGACATCAGCGTGCTCTGTGCATGAGGACCCTTCCCAAGGGGCTGTTAAATCCTGCTAAGAGGAGAAGAGCTGCTCTGCAGCAACCGCTGCTGCTCACCGGAGCGCAGTTTCCTAAGGAAGTTGAATTCGTGAGCAAGAACCGCTCCGCTGTCCTCACCCATACGTGAATGTCCCATCTCTGTCGCTTTTTGTTTCCCTTCTAAACGGGGAAGGGCCTCAGAGCTAGCACACCCTGAGCGTCTCTTCTCAGAAAAACAGTCCGTTTTTCAGAGACTCGTGTTCTGCTGGGGTGGGGCTGATTGCAAAGAGACCGCACAACTTCGCAGAGTCGTGTTCGTTGCAGAGGAGCGCAGGCCGCTGCAAAGCCAGGGCTTCTGTAGGGAACTGGGTTTTGTTTTTTCTTCCTTGACATCTGGAGCCTTCTGCAGCTGGACGGCCCGGCCCTCCCCACCCTCTCGCAGCATCTCGCACGGATGGGATGATTGAGTAACCCGGTCCCGCCCGCGGCGCGGCTCTGGGGCTGGTAACGACCAGTTTGGCCGGGAGCGGCGA